TCTAAATAACTACAATATTATGCGAGAAATTAATAGTAAGAGCTATATAGGAAAAACTATACAGCTGTTTAGGTAACAAAATATTCGTGATAACACTTTTTCTCAAGTTGGTGCGAAGATATCACACATGTTTAATTTACATATCAAGTTCTGAAGAATTTTGTTGTAAAGTCTTTTAGTGAAGATATCTGCCACCTGATTGCTAGAAGATACATGATATAAGTCTAAGAAACCATCAACCACTTTTTCTTTTATGAAATGACAATCAATCTTAATGTATTTCATCCAATTGTGTTGAACTAGATTTTGGGTAATATTAATGACTGCTTTACTGTTACAAAACAATGATAGACTTTATTCTTTAAACAATTTTAATTCATTCATTAATTTTTGCAACCATAATAATTCACATACCCTTTTAGCCATTGCTTAATATTCTGCTTCAGCATTAAAACTGGCAACTACACTGTTTCTTACTTTTTTACATAACCAAGTTGCCTCCACTAAGTGTGCAGCAACTATTAGTTGACTTTTTATTATCTGAAAATCCAGCCCAATCTGCATCTGTAAATGCTTCTATCTTAAGGTGACTATTTCTAAAGAAGAGCAAACTTTTTCCTAGTGTAGATTTCAGATATCGTAATATTCGAAAAACTGTATTTAAATGAGTCTCGCGAGTATCATGCATATACTGATTCACCAGACAAACTGCATATGAGATATCTAGTCTAATATGTGAGAGACAAATGCGTCTTCCAACTAACTTTTAATATCTTTCCATGTCAACTGATATACCACTACCTGATTGTAGTTTGTGATTACTTTCAATAAGGGATTCTGCTAGCTTGCAATCCATTATACTACTATCTTACAGCAAGTTCAGAATATACTTTTTCTAAGAAATGAAGATTTCTCTATTACATCTAACAACTTCGATTCTCAGAAAATACTACAATTTTCCTAAATCCTTGCTTTCAAATTTTTGAGCAAAAAGTTCCTTTAATTCAGTTATCTCCTTTGTATCATCTTCAGTCACCACATTATCATCTACATAAATAATGAGAAGAGTAACTTTATCCTCCCAATGCTTGATGAACAAGGTATGATCTGCATTATTTTGTTAATATACGAACGAGATCATAGCTTTTCTAAACCTTTCAAATCATACTCTTGGAAACTGTTTTAATCCATAAAAGATCTTTAATTTACAAACCTTTCCTTGTGTTCTTTCATCTTCGAATGTAGATGGAATTTTCACGTATACCTTTTCCTTAAGTCCCCATGGAGGAAGGAATTGTTGATATCAAATTAGAGTAAGTCTCAATCAAGATTAGCAACATAGGATACTAAAATTCTGATTGTGTTTATATTTGTGACAGGTATAAAGGTCTCTTGATAGGTCTGAGTAAACTATTTAGCTACTAGTATAGTTTTGTACCTTTTAATCGTTCTATATACTTTGTGTTTTACAGTGAATACCTACTTACAACCAACTATCTTCTTTTCTCGTGGGGGTGAAACAGGCTCCCATGCATCATTTTTTGCCAATGATTTTATTTCTTCAATCATTGCTTCATTTTATTTAGGATCTCCAAGAGTTTCTCTCTAATCCTATTGAATAGATATAGAGGAAACAGACAAGACAAAAATTCTATAGCAGAGAGATAAAGAATCATAGGAAAGAAAGTTAGAAATGGATGCTTAATGTAAGTTCTGTTTCATTTTTTAAGAACAATGGATTTACTAGATAAATCATAAGGTAAAGATAACTCACCAGTATCTTTAGAAACTGAAGAAGATTCTTTCCTTAAAATAGACTGTATGATGACTTTTTTTGTCTTATTTTTTCTTAAATACCTCTTTAAGTCTGGTTTATCTAGACGTTCAGTTTTTTCTTCTTGAATAGAATCTTCTGATATAGAACTCTCCCCCTGAATAAGATTGTCCAGAGTTACCAAACTGAGTATCATTTCTTCCTTCTTATTCTCCCCCTGAAGATTGGGGTAGAGCTGAAGTATGATTCAGATTCTTTAAAAGTAACATTCATAGTAATAAAGTATTTTCTAAACGATGGATGATAACACTTGTAACCCTTTTGAATAGGAAAATATCCATCAAATACGCACCTGAGAGCTCTAGGTTCCAGTTTACTCACATTTCTAGTATGGACAAAACAAACATATCCAAACCCTTTTGGGGAAACAATACAGGAATTGTTACCTTTCAAAACCTCAAGAGGACTTCTAAAATCAATGACTGACAAAGATATTCTATTAATAAGATAGGCAAGTGAGAAAATTACATCTCCCCAATAACTTTTAGGCAGATTTATGGTGAACATTACTACCAAGGTACCTCTATTATGTGTTTGTTTTTTTTTTTCAGTAATTCCGTTTTGTTCACTGGTGCAGACACAACTTGTTTGGTGAATTATCTCATTTGACTCCAAGTAGGTATGAAACTCACTATCCATATATTCTGTATAATTGTCAGTTATTAGAATTTTACTTTAGCATCAAAGTATATACATATCATTTTATGAAATAACTGGAAATATGAAAA